CGATGACCTCATTCTCCAATACATGAATAAAGCGCCAACAGTCGCTAACACGGGAAATACAAAACATTCAAAATAAACGCCCCAAATTCCCTCCGCTTTCCAACACATACTATCCCCAGCCGTCAAGAACATCGAGTACTCACGTATGAACGCCATCATAGCTACTGCTCCAAACGACCATGCACCTATCACCAAAGAGAAGACAATCATCCATACGAAGATATACTCCATCCCCTTACTCCTTACGACAGAATTTAGGCTGAGCAGATCTTGAGGAGTTGAAGACGCAACATCCACAGTCATTAATGTGAACAACAACAAATTCCATAGCCATAAAAAACGCCAACAGTGCAAGAAAAAGGATGAAGATAGCAACTATCGCCACGGACACGTAAACAGTTTCCATTCGGAAAGCTTCAAAAGTCAAGCGCACGCCATCTTTTAGCGAGAATTCACCAGTTCCTATGAACACAACTCACAATCACACAGAAAGAAAGATAAAAAGATGGCAAACATATAGTTAGGTAGCAACATGACCTGTATATTAATGCATAAATAATCCAAAATAAAGTCCCAATTCAACTAAACGACCCCTTAGTGTCGACAAAACAGTAGGGTAGTTGGCAAGAAGTCCCGAAAGTTTTTTCACCAATCCTTGTCGTGATCGGATCGTCAGGGGATACAATTACCCTTAGTTATCGTGTCGAAAGGGACTGGGCTTTTATTTTTAAAACCATGAATCAAAACGTGTCGTGTAAGCAAATAGAGCGTTAAAACGAGTTAGGGGAGAATACGAAGATTTTACCACTCCTGATGATGTCGCCAGATCACCCATGGTCGCGCCTGCTGGCTACGCATCCACCTTTCACCAGTTTGTCTAACCGAGACGCCCGAAACTATTAGGAATGAAGAACATGAATTGCTTCGCGCACTAAATCATACAGAGGTTAGCAACTAGGAGGAAGATACGACTGTGAAAAGAAGAAAAAATGCAAATGGTTGGACGACTAATCCCAGGAGATCGACGACGATGCAAAACTCCAAATCGATGGGTATCAGTACAGCGCCAATACGCGGGCCTACGGATTCAGCGAGTCATTATGACTCAAGGCACAGCGATCATAAGCGCCACAGTGAGAGGGTGAGTTGGTATTCGACCAACTCTTAAATAGCAGTATTCGACCTGGACTATCCTATTCGCAACAGCGATTCCTACCCAGTCCATTTTAAACACTAAACACAGGCCGAAGGGGGAGGTTAGGGTGGGCACAACGCTCGGGTAAAAAACCACCCCAAGATAAGGCCTGCCTATTGATAAACACCTGCCTCGCAATTTGAATCGTCGGGGAGTACGTCCTATTTTTTTAGGGCTACCGCTTTTTATTGATTTGTTAAAAAAAATATTTTAAATTATTGTTTTTAGCAAGTATATGTGTATATACACCTGCATACACTTCTTTTTTTTAAATATATATATATATATATACATATATATATATATAAATATATATACACAAAAATTATATATATATATATATATAATATAAGTTAGAAATAATATTCTCTTCTTTTTGGTAGGAATGAGTGCGTGTGTGTGTGTGTGTGTATGTGTGTGTGTGTGTGTGTGAGAGAGAGAAAGAGAGAGAGAGAGAGAGAGAGAGAGAGAG